TGTGTGTGTGTGTGTGTGTGTGTGTGTGTGTGTGTGTGTGTGTGTGTGTGTGTGTGCGATCATTTGGGCCATCTTCTTGCCGTTGTCTCCTAGACCAACCGATGGCATGATTTTTTATTCTGCTCTTTTTCATGCTCACCTTACATCATCGAAGAAACTATACTCTACGAGAGAAAAAATCGACTGGGCGCATAAAGTCATCTGTAAAAGGGCGAAATCTTATGCGAGTAATACGTAAGTGTTGGCTAAACGATCAATATATTTCCTGTTTGAAAGTAGGATGCCATGCTTTTCTTGCCAACTCGATATCGGCATCCTAATTCATTCGCTTGTTACCAGCGGAAAAGATCAGAAGCACCATTTCTCAGTTTACCTTAAACGATTTACCCCTACCAGGTCATAGTTTTCTATGGCTAAATCTTTTAACTCTGAATCTTATTAATCTGCCAACCCGTTTTCTCTTTGTGTCTGGAGATATCTGAAACCGGAAATCGAAGAAGAAGAAGAAGAAGAAGAAGAAGAAGAAGAAGAAGAATACACTAAAGAAAAGTCTGTAATCTCCTTAGCTTCTTCTTCTTCTTCTAAGCAATTATATAGATCCAAATTGAAAGAACTGCAGAATAATATCCTTATCGCTCAGTATTCCGTAACAAAACACTAAATCGACAGTATTTAATTATCACTGTTATACCTGGGGGAATTTAAGGGTCATTCGGGGCTGAGATTTCAGACCTTTCTCAGGATAGCAATTTCCTTATCAAACCAACAAAGATGATCATGGTGGTCAAAGAGAGAGGGAACGATGAAACGAATGAACATTAATCTCTCTCTCTTTCTTCTCTCTCTCTCTCTATATATATATATATATATATATATATATATATATATATATATATATATATATATATATACAAACCTTCGATTAGCTGGTCAAGTAGCGTAAAAGCCCTTTCAGACATTAGAAACGGGTAAGTATTTCATAGTGCATTATTCGTAACTCAAAAAAGGGATGAACAAAAAATGGATGCTTCCAAAGTTTCTAAGACAATTTTCTATAACGTTAAGTCAGGTGTCTTTTCAACCGTTTTCCTGATTGTAGAGGACATAAATGGAACTTATGGTCGGAAAACCAACCTTCTAATTATTCAGCCGTGTCCCCAGGAAAGTAACTTTAACCTACAGCAGGGTTTCACACGCGTCTGTGAGATATGGATATATATACTATTTAAACCTAACTTTTTACACGCACTCATACACCCTATATACATACACATATATAAAGTATGTCTGTCTGTGTATAAAAATTTAGAGATAAAGAGAATATATTCGTATAGACAGTATAAATCACAGACCCTAGGAAAGTTTCATTTACCAACGCGTTTATTACTTTGGGGATGTCTATCATGGTTAATGTAGACATTTTATTTCGTAAATTGTGCATATGTCAGTGTGTTGCTGTGTCACACTAGAGGCCGTTGCCCAACATATATTATTTTGGAATCCGTCAGTAAATTAAAATCCTTATGACACAGACAGGAACCCGCAATCATTTAACTTTCATTACTGCAATTGTTTTCGTATTCCGCCATTCTGGCTTCTACTGATAAAATCAATTTAAGGGACACACCTCTCTAACTTCCAGTAGCACATGTTCAAATGAAAAATAAATATTGTTCTCAAATTACAGTGTTTCAAGACAAAATTGACAGTGTTTACAACTTTACCACAAGAGGCCGTAGACAAACATATACTAGAATTTAGAAATCTGGCCAACTCCGTGAGCAAGAGAAAAACATTCCAGGACAGATCCGGACTTTCAATCCGGAAATTTTAGTTTCAAGTTTTCGAATTTTCTACTCCTCCCTGGCTATTGTGATGGAGTCCAAATCAAGAGCCCTCCGCAGGATCTAGCTTAAATTACTGCCCGATAGGATAGTTTTGAATCTATATATATATATATATATATATATATATATATATATATATATATATATATATATGGCCAAGTGGATTCGCAGTGTGAGATTAAAAAGAGGAAAGCTGATGGACTGCACACAAGTCGATACTCAATCAGTATCGTGTCACCATGGAGAGGGGGTATGATGTTTTAAACCAAAAATCCCTAAAAACACCACTGATGATGTATGCCAAATCATCAATCATGTTTGTCCTGAAATTTATATGTATGTATATAGATTATATATGTATGTGCGAGTGTATGTAGATATATATGTATGATAGAAATTAGGAGGATTTGAGATAATTATAATTAAGTAATTCATCCAGTCTAGAAGAAACCTCAACAGAATGCAGAAAGAAATAGACGGCCGTTTCGTCCTATATTTGGTACTCATCAGCAGTGCGTATCCACTACCGAGAATTGAAACCCGGACAGATACGTTATCAGGCAAACGTCATACCAACTGTTCCAACTCGATGGAGCGGCTTGGGGGATACTAGCTGTGGCTCGTGGGGTCACACTCCTATGGGTAAATAAATATCGGATGAGTTCCACCACGGAATATGTGATCGATATTTATTTTATATCGTGTCTGATTCGCTACCTCTTCGTCATTGGAACGCTTGGTATGACGTCTACCTGATAACGGAATTGTCCGGGTTTCAATTCTCGGTAGTGGATGCGCACTACTGATGAGTCCCAAATATAGGACGAAATGGCTGTCCAGTTCATTCTGTTGAGGTTTATTCTAGACTCGATGAATTGTTTAATCAAATATATATATATATATAATATATATATATATATATATATTATATATAAATATATATAAATGAAAAAATAGGAAAGAAAGCTATATGGAGGCAGCATAAGTGCTCTTTCAACAATATAAATAAAAGAAACCAGATTTCCCTGTCTAAATATTATTGGCATCTGAAGGAAATAAATAGGACACCTAAAGTAAAATGGAAAATTATAAACAGGACTAGAACTTGTAAAACTTGGGATGACCCATGCCCTTTGTGCCTCCATGAGAAGCTGCATATTATTAAGTTTCTAAATAATAGTAATCTATTAAACAATAGACATGAGTTAACGGTTTTCTGTCGACATCATCAAATCTATGGTTTGAATGATTAGCTGAAAACAAACATACAATATAATAACTTTTATAATCCATAGCCAAAATAAATAGTTTAAATACCCTACAAAAAGATAACCCTTTATGAAGTCGTCAAAAAACAAAAGTTACGGCAGTTTTTATATGCACAAATTCCTTTCATGAAGAAATAAAATAAAAAAATAAATAAATCTCCATAGACACGTAAGCCAGACTAGGCTAAAACATCTTCCGTTTCAAATTTAGACACCCCCACCTTACCCTGACTTGACATCTATGAAAGGAACTCTATACTGATACTTATTATTAACACCCAACACACGCCTACCCAATTTAAACAATTAGCCCTAGCTGTTACCATGGAAATTTTGATTTCAATTATTAAAACACGTAAATTTCAGAAATAAGTTATTCAAAAAAAAAATTTCGCTTGAAGATGGAACAGAGCTTACTTTAATTCAATTTAATTCAAATAATTATATTGAAGTTTTCGGCTCTTGTTTTGAAACATGAGACCTCTTATGTCGCGAGTTGGAATCATATTTTAAATAAATAATTATATATATATATATATATATATATATATATATATATATATATATATATATATATATCCGCATGAAATGTGAACGAATAGAATCCAAATCCGACATTTTAACATTCAATTTAAAAGAGGGCTCAATACAAGTCGAGCAATAGGATAATTTGTTTTAGGATATCACATCAAAACATGTAAAAACGCAACACAAATGTAATCATGTTTCGATTCTTAGTAACACATCTCATCAGGCGTTAGTAAAGCAAAGAATAAAGTTTAAAACGTTAACTTTCTTTCTTACACTTTTTCTTTTTTTAATTTTCTCGTGTAAAGGGGGCGTATGTTGTTTTTAAATTTCAATAAATTGTCTACTCACCTGTTATTTACTAACGCCTGATGAGATGTGTTAATACACATCGAAACACGATTGCATTTGTGTAGCGTTTTTTTACGCTTTTGATGTAATATCCTAAAATAGATTATATATATATATATATGTGTGTGTGTCTGTGTGTGTGTGTTTATTTTATATATGTGTGTTTATGTGTGTGTAATTTTAGAACATATCCGTGTGCCATCTGTTCCATCAACGTTATTATGTTCTCAGCGTAGCGTTTGTTTTGGCACAAGGTCAAAATTATCGAGCTCCTATTTAAGCTCAAGCACATAACTAATAATGCATAATTCCTGTTTGTTGAATGATTAGGCACCCCTCTGAAACATAATAATTGTTACATTTAATATACATACATTTATGTAACAACTATTACAGAACAATAATGAGATATTGTTTAGCTTAGTGTGGCCATTATTACAGTCATATTTAGATAATTATTCGAGCACTTCGACATGGCGTAATGGCTAGCAAGCTTATCTCGCTAGGTTAATTACAACTGAAAAGTGAGTTCGAGCCTCACTAGGTGCTCCATACATTCGGCCTTGTGCCAGATCTAAGCTACGCTTAGAAAACGACAGTCACCTCGGCGTGGTGTAATGGTTAGCAAACTTGTCTCGCTATAACATTTACGACTGAGTAGTGAGTTCGATCCTCACTGGGTGTCCCCTACTTTCAGCCTTGTGCCACATCTAAGCTACGCTTGGAAAATTACTATTTAGATTATTAGTAAAAATTTTAGTTACATTTATTATTTAGTTATTCTTTTTATAGAGAAAATTAGGGCTGCAGATTGCAAGAATTTGAATAATGCCAGGCCGCAGAGGAAACGGTAACTGGGAATAAGTCATGCCTTGTTGATTACAATGCATTGAACACGCAACAATGCAAACGTAGAAGTTAAAAATGGCCCATGAAAAACGGAAATGATCTAAATTTATTATCATCAAATCAAAATGAAATCTATTACGGTGTTGATGAACCCGCCATGTTGAAAGTGCCGTCCACGGCGAAGCAAAGGATACAGGTAGAAACGTTGACTTTCTGCATTAATAACCGGCGTTTGGTTTACAGCTTTCCTGATATAATCGAAGTGTACACCGAAAAGAAAAATGGCGGTGTATTTGAAGGAATGAGTTCCGTCCGGCGTTAATAGTTATATAGAAAATATTCAGAGCATGAATCTGGCTGTGTCGTCGGGTTTGAATAACATCATTTCTTTCCAATATAGTTATTATGAAGAAGCGTAACTGAAAGACACTGTATTTATCAAGACGAAATGATTCAAATGGAAATGCTTCTATAGAAACCGTAATGATTGAAATAACAGACACTTATCCTAATATCTAAGGGTTTGATTTTGTTCATTTATTTACCAATTTCAAATTTATCAACATTTTTTTTTCTTTTTTTTTCTCTTTATTTCTTTCATTCTTATTCAGTTTGTTTGGTTTTCGTCGTTATCATTAACAGATTTATTTCTGTCACTCTATCTAACTTTCTATTTCTCTAATTTTCGCTATCTATCTATCTATCTATCTATCTATCTATGTCATTCGGTTCAAATCTGTCTTATTCTGTTCATATCTATCTACCTATCTATCTCTTGCCTTACAACATCTATCTATTTCATCTATCTCCTTCTATTCATATATTTCTATCTATCTATCTATCTATCTATCTATCTATCTATATCACTGTTCAAATCTGTCTTATTCTGTTCATATCTATCTACCTATCTATCTATCTATTTACTATTCTATTCTACTTACTGTATTCCGCCATCACACGAGTTCTTTTATCGTTTCATGCGTGTTTGGGAAGGAGGAGGGAAAAACTCACCGGCAACCGACTGTGGTATTGATTCGTTTAAAATTGCTTTGATTGTTTGAAATGCAGAGGTACGGTGGAATAACAGATTGCGGTTCGGACTGATAGCCGAGTTCAAACTGCAGTCTAATTCATTGAATTCACCTACGTGCTAATACCCTTGGATAAAGCTATCAATCCATTTCCCATTGGTGAATAGCAGAACATGCTTGGTATAGAAGAAGGAAAAATTTGGATACAAAAACCAACTGCTGCTGCTTCTTTAGACAAGATGGTAATAAAAACGATTCAGCTTGCATGTCGTCTTGAAGAAAAGCAATGCTTTTTTTACTTTGAGCCGACGCATAGACTCCTCGGTTTTAGTTCAATGGTTTGAACAAACACAAGACAGTGTCAAGGACAATTCTGATTTCGAACCATTCGCCCACGAGTGTATCACTTATGGCACTTTAGACGACCATGTTTCGAATGCAAAAAGGCATTCTAGAATAACTGGACGAGAGGAAATAACTTGTTCGTAAAAGTTAATTAAACTCTGTGGTCGCGATCAGGCGGTGGTTTGTCCTACAAAAGCGGGGCTCAAGTTCGAATCCTGTAGGAGAGGACTTCCTATTTATTCAGTTTTTTTTATTAGGCAGGCCGGTAGACATAATCCGTATTGACAAATAAAACAGGGTTTCTACTCAAAATTGGTTAACCACTAAACTAAATAACAGCTGTAATGTCACTAAAATAATGGAGAATACAGTGTGTGAAGGAAATATATATATATATATATTGTCATCCAAAGACAGATTCCTCAACAGCTTATGAGGTTAGAAAGTAATTTTCCAAGCGTAGCTTAGATGTGGCACAAGTGTATGGGACACCCAGTGAGGATCGCACTCACTATTCAGTCGTAATTGTTCTAGCGAGACACGCTTATGAGGTTAGATATCTGATTACCTCAAACCTGGATCGATTCATATACCATTGGCGCACAGCACGGACGAAGTTGAATTTAAACGTATTTACTTTTAGATGAACGCGCCAATGACTTTAAGAACTCGATTCTTTAGCATCAGTAATATATACATAAATATTAATAATCAGTAGAAAGAGAAAAGAATAATCAGGAGGACAATATATATATATATATATATATATATATATATATATATATATATATATATAGTAATACTCGGTTGGAAAAAAAACTCGGATCAACAACAACTTGTAAGTATATCAAAACAAATTGGTACCCGAGTAAAAAAAAACAACTAAAAGTTCCGGCTATGACGAAACAAATCGTCAGTCCTATATATATATATATATATATATATATATATATATATATATATATATATATATATATATATATATATATATATATATATACATACATATATATATATATACTTTTATATATATACATATATATAGATATATAGATATATATACATATATATATACACACATATATATATATATACACACACACACACACACACACACACACACACACACACATATATATATATATATGTATGTATGTGTGTATCTTCAAATATTTAAATGCAGCGCCAAACGCTAATCTACTGTATTTCTGATTACTCTTCCTTTGTACTGAAATGACTTAGTAATGTTTCTGTTTTTTAATTATTCCACATAACTAGTAACAACATCTCTCTTGGGGGGTGAACTCATTTAAAAAAATTATATATATATATATATATATATATATATATATATATATATATATATATATATATATATATATATATATATATATATATAACACATTAGTCACAGATGAACTGAAATTATTTTCCTTTTCCCCACAAACATTAATTGGGTACTAGTTATGATTTTCATAGAGACATTGAGGTATTTTGATGGATGTAGCCATAATTCTAAGTAAGAATGCATTGTTTTGTTGTAAATAATGTTGCATGTTTGGGTCAGTGACAGTGTTAAGCTAAGTTTAAATTTAGTACTAGACTGGCATCAATTTACAGATGAGTTGGCGAAACCTAACCGTATATTCTATGCTAACAGTTTCTTTCCTCGCACTTCCCATTTGTGGAACCCTCTTCCGGTTTCATGCTTTCCGGCCAAATTTAATGTTCAAAAGCTTAAATGCAATGTCAACCGCTATCTTCTGTTTAATTTTCCTTTTTTCTTGTTACGTAATAATGTTTCTGTTTTCTAATTCTTCTGCACCCAGTAACAATTTGTGTGTTAGTGTCTTTACTGATTTTCTTGCGGCGAATTCACTTAAAAAAAAGAACAGTTTGGAATGTTTGTTCGTATCTTTTAAGAGATCTTAGATTGACTGGTTTATTCTTTAACACACTCGCCTTTTCTTCTTTCTCTTATCACTCACTCTCTCTCTCTCTCTCTCTCTCTCTCTCTCTCTGATTCTCTTTCTCCCTTCTGTGCATTTGTTGCTTTCAATTGCTTTATACTCTTTCTCTCTCTCTGTCTCACTGTCTCTCTCTCTCACTCTCTCTCACTCTCTCTCTCTCTCTTTTACTGACGCTCTTTAATTTTTTTTATCATTCTCATTCTACGCGTGTCACTTCGACGTGTTGGAATGGTTAGCATGCTTGTCTTGCTACATCTATAACGACTGAATAGTGAGTTCGATCCTCACTCTGTGCTCAACTCTTTCGGTCGTATGCCACATCTCAACTACTCTTAGAAAATCCTTTGGGCACTCTGACGTAGTGTAATGGTTAGCAATCTTGTCTCTTTGGGGCAGTTACAACTGAGTAGTGAATTCGATCCTCACTAGGTGCCGCATACTTTTGACCTTGTGCCACGTCTAAGCTACGCTTAGAAAATCAGCATTCTTATCGTGTGTGTGTTTTTCTCCTTCATCTTCCAACGCTGAACACTCTCTCTTTGCCTTGCATTTCTTATCCTTTCATTCTACCTCACTTCTTTCAAAAGATCTCTTTTCATTCTACCTCACTTCTTTCAAAAGATCTATTTTCATTCAACCTCACTTCTTTCAAAAGATCTCTTTTCATTCTATGTTGTACACATTTATCAAAAAATACGAATGAAATATATTCAATATCTTTTCAAAATAATTAATAAAATTGTTAATTAAGATAAATTTATCAATTAAATACTTTCCAATATTTTTAAAATTATTAATAATATTATTAATTAAATATTTTCAAATATTTTCAAAATACATATGTCTGAAATATTATTAATAATATTAACAAGTAACTATTAACATTAATATTAACTTCAACTGCTACGTGAATGATCATTTTAAATCGAATCCCATCGAAAGAAAATATAAGAAAATAAAATAATACTAAATAAGAAACGATCATGACGTCATGAATTCCTTAACTCACCAAGCTCACAGGGTTACAATATGGACGGCAAACATAACAGCAGTTGTGTATCTAGGGTAAGATTAGAAAGCCCTCCATACATCAGGTTGCTTTTGAATTCAGAATGTTCCTTCTTCTAGAGTGGTGGCTACCTCAAGTTAAGAGATCAAATTTAATCCACAGTTGGCAGGCTGAGGGAGGTTCTCATTCATTATGTAGGGATATTTGTGCGTAAAAGATCGTAATTCGAACTTGATTCGCCGATTTTCTCTTTCACACTAGTTAACATTCACTGCATAAAGAATTTCATCTTTGTTAGCATAAAAATATGAATTAGTTTTGTTATATACAATTTACATGAAATTGCTGCTAAAAAGCTCCCCTGACAATATTTATCGGCAAAACCTACAAATGCATTCTAGCATTTCTTCCTGGCCAATAAAAATAGACAGTTTTCGGTCTTAATGTACATTTTACTCCTTCTTGTCTTGATGTTCAAAGACTATAACTAATTGACTGTAATCCTTTTGCGTGCCAGCAATAATCCTATATTATGAACATTTTTTTTTAATTTATAACTCTGATATAGTCACTCTACTTTGCTTTTGATACGAATACTTTAAAAATCAGAAGGTCAGTTAGGTGAAACTGCTACTTTGGTTTCAACTTCACGGTATCCTCAGGCAATCAAATGACCTCTTAACGCTTTATTTTTTGTTTAAATCTAATGAATGTTATATTATTAATTTCAAAAATAAATAAACAAATGCACGAGAAATAGAGGAAGAGTTTGATTATCCATTTTTTTTAAATAATAATATGACGTTCATTATAAAAAAAAAAAAAAAAAAACAAATAAAGCGTTAAGAGGTCATTTGATAAAAATCGCCTGAGTATAACAAGGTAGCGGATGCAACTGAACTCCTGATTTTTAAAATTAAAAGCTCTACATGTTATTTTTCTTTTATTTTTTCACATATGTATTGAGCACATTTTAATACTACTGCTTCCTGGTGTGATTCAACTCTGACCATTAACCTTTTATATATTATATATTAATTATTTCTATCTGTATATCCTTGCTTGAACCGGCTTCTCATGCTCTGGACTGAGCGGCTTGGGGAGAGTAACCGTACCTCGTGTAGGCACAGTCCTATGGGTAAAGAGAAACTCGGAGAAGTTCCACCACGGAATATATGATCGAGCGACGCTATATTGAGTCTAATTCGAGAACTGTTGGTACAGTTGTTATGTCATTTTACTTCCGTCGTAGCTATTCGGGTTTCAATTCTCGGTAGTGGATGCGCACTGCTGATGTAGTCCCAAATATAGGAGTGAATTCTGTGGGGGTTTCTTCTAGACTTGATGAATTACATAATTATGATTATTTCCAATCTTCCTAATTATATATATATATATGATAACATGAAGAACAAATAGGAAATGGTTATTAATATAACACGCTCGCATTAAATAAAGCTTTAGCAGAGAATGAGATATGGAGAAAAAGAAGAAAGAAATTTTGGTATTTTTACGTTTGTGTTGTTTGATTTTCATTGGTCAATCATGTATCACGTGTATTTGACTTGTTGAACCAACGTTAGTATAATGTGTGGCGTTCTGAATTCAAGTAGAGACGTAGCGTCCATTCCGTTAATTTCTTTAAACTTCTCATGGACGCGTCCTCTCTCCTTGAATTCGGAACGCCACAAATTATACTAAGACTGATTCAATATATCGAATAGACATCTCAATGAACATCCAAATTAATATTGACAACATAATTAAAGCAACATTGGATTGTCTTTGTTTCATTTTCTCTTTTTATCCACTGTACAGAAATATGTCTGTCCTAAATAACACGATAAACTACATCCGCATTCTGGATGAAACGATAAACTACATCCAACAAGCAAGGCTTCTGATCAGGGGGTTTTGAGGAACGTGGAACCACCTCTTAATTGCTGATGTTCCTAGGTCCACTCTGACCCCGGATTGGTAGCACCTGTCAAGGTCCCAGCTATAGGAAAATAGTAAACACCCAAACTGCGATCAAATTGTGGAAATATACGTTTTCATACCAGCAATAAATTTTTGTAAAAGTTATTACCAGCAATGAAATTTTGAAGAAAAAATTATCAACTGTAATTTATTACCAGCAACACATTTTTGAAAAAAAATGTTACCAGCAATACATTTTTGAAAAAGAAATATTACCAGTAATACATTTTTGAAAAGAAAAATATTACCAGCAAGAAAAATCTTGTCCGAATTAAATAAGCCATTGAGATTGATATGCCGTAAAACAAAATAAACCAAACTAAAGTAAACCGAAATATATACGGCACAAACAAATGATATGATTCTAATTGTTTTAGTTAAGTCATAAAACAAGAATCTAATTACGAGGATCAAATCAATTGTCCTGATAACGAATATTTAAATGTTTCTACTGCAACCTGAACAAATGGTTTACAATTAACAGGTAAGCAGATATGAAGTCAGCCCTTCGTTATATATGCCTCACCGTATATTCCTTGTTTGTTCTTATATATTAAGTAACGTCGTGCCTGGTCAGTACCAAAATGGGTGACCGTTTCGGAATGCCAGTTGCTGGAAATTTGGATGTGCCGGGTGCCATATATAATGGCTCGGAGTTAAAAATCAGAAAACCGACTTCTAATTTCACTTGTGGAGAAATACCCTAAGAATCCACCTTTTCTCCCTTGACCCAATTATGGGTTAATTTGGTAAGACTTGCATCAGTAAATTTTTATTTTCGCCAAAAATTCTTACAATTTCAAATATTTTCTGACTTTAAAAAACCGTGGATAATCCGGAAAAAATCATATCATTGAATCAAGATAAATATGAGCGTAAGGTTATATCCCGTTGAAACATCGATTCTCGTATGATCACCGAAGTTAAGCAAGCGACGTCAAGCCTGGGCTATACCTAGATGAGTGACCGCTTAGAAATACAAAGTGCGATATGAGATGAATTATAAAAGTATCCGACTTTGACCATAAAAATAATCAATTTTGTACATTTTACAAATCTTACTTAAATACATTCAAAAACTCCACTTGGGACTTCACATATTTCTCCCAGATGTTTATATATATATATATATATATATATATATATATATATATATATATATATATAGCAAAACACCTAGGAAAACAGTGCACTGGCTCCCTCATGATTGTGTGGAAAAACATGAAAATTATAGTCGTGGCCAGTCACTGCCTACCTGCTTTTAAAATTAATATTACAGCTCTCCCATTTCTTATAGCTGTAAGCACTTTTATATCTGTCTATATTATGAGATGAGATATTATGTACACAATTACATTACACGGACTATTTTCCTCGTCTTTGCCGCCATATTTGTTACAACATTTCGGCCGTTGTATGCTCCGGCCTTCTTCAGGTGATTGGTATATGAGTACTGGTAAAAAACGGTTGCTGAAGACATTAGATTTATAATACCCAGAAATTCATATACAGATGCCCTCAAGATCACAGTGGATAAAAGCGTTGGTTAGATCCAGTGACAGGACCCAAAGAAGTGTGAATTCAATACGTGGTTAAGGCGGTGGAGAACTTGGAGAGGGGAATTAACAGGAGATAACTGAAAACTAATATCCATTAGCCATGGAACGTGGAACAAGAACAGTCTACTCCAGTGATTGAAATAAAGGGTTCAGTTCGACATTCCAACCACATGGAGAAGGGCGGAGCGTACATCGGCCGAAAAGTTGTAATAAATATGGCGACAAAGATGAGAACAATAGTCCGAATAATCTATATATAGCATTTTATGGCAGTAGGCTACTTTTGGGCAAAATCTTTTCAGAGATGGTTATTCTTTCCTGGATTCATACATATATATATATATATATATATATGAAAAGAGTGTGAGAGATGTTCGTATATACCTCAGTTTTCGAACGAATGTTCGGTATTCTCATATCTGCTTCTCTAATGCTTAATTTCAAGTCAGGTCTTTGTTTCGAAGTGTAAGTAGTTAAGCATAATCTTCTAATGTTCATTCTGCCTTTTTAATGTTTTTTGAACCGGAGTATATATATATATATATATATATATATATATATATATATATAGTCATCCACAGATATACTGTTTCGCTGTATCAGAGCTCATCAGTCTGGCTAGGATCGAAACCCGACTGAATTGGCGTCATTCGGGGATTCTACCACTAAGCCCTTGGCGCAGGGTAGAAGGTGAATTTAAGCGTCTTTATTTTTAGATAAACACACTGTGACTGAGAGTACTCGATTCGATTTACCGAAGTGTATTGCATTATTAGCTGTAATAATCACTTCCTCCCCAGAGAGCTCAACCGAAATCAATTTTTCAGGATTACATATATATATATACTGGATTTCACACCTTTGAAACGCCTTCTCTGGAATGCTATTAAACACGATAGTTGCTATTCACATAACTTCTCGCGGCTCAAATATCTTCCGATTCAGAGTGGGTTTCAGATTCGGTGAGAGCGAGTAGTTACACTGTGCCAAATCTGTAGAGCGAGGAAGCCTGTCGAATAAGTGGTGTGTTGCTCTTGACCAAGAATATTTGGATTATTAGGGACGAATAACACGGACATTCTCCGCATGCACAAATAGCTAAAATGGAATGCACTGATCATGTGCTTATACCAACATTGTGAGCAATCAGAGATCAAAGATCCAATTCCTGTTGGGTTCGTCATATTCATTTACTTGCAGATACCATTTGGAAAATTATGAATCCATTTATTCGCCCTCCAACTCTGGTTTAGTTTGTCGGAATTTTAACAGTAAATCATTATTATCTGTAAAAAAACAATCCTTACCAACATAATATTTCCTGGCTTTAAATAACCTGAAAAAGAAAGATAAGCCGTAAAAATAACAAATCAACGAACAGAAATTCTATTATATTTCTGTGCTGACGTGTTCTAATTATTTACATTATTTACATTGTTCGGACTGTTGTCCTCAACTGTTTTGTCATATTCACGACGTTTCGGAGAGTTCGGTCAAAGGGAGATAATTGAGACATCTGGAAGAGGCTTGTCACGTAGAACTAGAACAATCTACCCCAGTGGACGAAATAAATGCCTGAGTTCGAAATTCCAATTACCTGAAGGAGGCCGGAGCGTACAACAGTCGAAACGTCGTGAATATGGCAATAAAGATGAGGACAACAGTCGGAACAATATAAATAAGTTGAACGGAAATTGTTTAATTCATTCTTTATAAATAATTCATTTTAGTTTGTATTTTGTGTAACACTTGTGCAGTGTTAATGTTTCATTTTTCTCGTTTTTTTTTAATTTATTTCTTCAGTTTTTTCTTTGTTTTTATTTTCAAATCTATTTCCTTGTTGCTTTTTTTATTTTTCATTGTCATTATATATTTCTTATTCTCAACTTAATTGAGTTTCCTTTTCTCCAGGTTTTCAGATAAGACGTTTAGCCATCTTGACACCACTTGTCGTAAGAATCGCTGAAAACCCCTTTGAGTTATTCAGCTAGAAAGGAAACAGGTTAAAATCGTTTTATCTTAACCCCATTATGTTTTCCCAACTTAGCAAGGAAAAGATCATTCAGGCCTTTCTCATTTTCATATTCTCATAATTTATTTCTTATTCTCAATTCTTGGCTGATATAGTTTTTTACTTTTTTCTCTGTTGTGTTATTTCTTCATCATTCCTCTTGTTCATTTTCCATTTATCTTCTATTTGCTTTGAATTCTTTCTTTTTTCCCTTTCTTTTTCATTTTCATTCTCTCTCATTCTTTCTTTACTGCTTTTTTCTTATTTGTTTCTTTCCTTCTTCAATGTCGCTTCTTTTTCTTCCGATTACATCTTTAGACTTTTTCTTTTCTTTTTTCTTCCATTTGTCTTTCCAATCTTGATTGGCTACATTTTTTGCGCGCGCGTTCATCCACTGATCGCTTCTATATTTTCAGTGTCCCACATTTTTTGTTTTCGGACAAGAATGCTATCGCTACACCAAATTGGATCAATATCACCGTATCTAGACATTCGCTGAAGTTTGATCTATAATTACGTTCAGTATTTGTGAGTTTATAATTAAAACAGAATCAAGTGCATTGACAAAGACCTAGATTAAGGTGAAAGATACTTGGTTTTTTTAAATTAAACTTTTTCAACAATCGATTACTGTCATCCTAATTTTCAAGACGTTATACACACACACACATATATATATATATATATATATATATATATATATATATATATATATATATATATATATATATAGTCATCCACAGACAGACTGTCTCGCTGTATCACAGCTCGTCAGTGTGGATAGACGCTCGGTTGCCTCGAGCTAGGATCGAAACCTGGATGAATAGGCGTCAGACGGATAAACTACCTCTAAGCCGTTGTCGCACGGCAGAGATGAAGCCTGGATTTTAAGCGTATTTTTTTCAGCGTATTTATTTTTAGATAAGCATTCCAGTGGGTGCGAGAACTTGATTCATTTATCGAAGAGTATTGTATTAGAAGAAGTAGTAGCCACTGCTTACAAAATCACACTTTCTCCTCTGTGAGTTCAACCGAAATAATTTTTCAGGAACACACACACACACACACACACACATATATATATATATATATATATATATATATATATATATATACGCACACACCGGGTGTAACAGCAAATCGTGTAACAGCTTAAATGTAATCTTCAGGTAACGTGGCTTGTGTTTGGGCTCGACTATATATATATTTATGGATATCTATTGTGTTATTGGGTGAGTGGTAATGTTTTTGTTTCAAATTAATTTCAGGGCGATCGAAAAGGACTAATTGAGTATCCAAATGTAGTTTTGTAGCTACTTTATTGTGTTGTTTTTAATTTTTTTACGCATTATTTCATATTGATTACATTATTTGTTGTTGATTACTATTATTTCGTCTATGAATAATAGTCGCTTGTTATTATTACGTGGGTGAATAATAAACAAAATAATAATGGCCGAATGCACACATAAATTCAGGTAAACCTAATACTAACAATCAATAGATAGGGGGGATTTATAAAAAGTCCTGATACTTTAAGGGAAAGGCAATGTAAAATTGGTTTCATTTCGTTTTTATAATTATTATCACTATTAATGTTATTATTATTATTATTGTAATTGTTGTTGTTGTTATTGCTGTATATATGCTAAAAACCTTCAAAAGTTTGTTTTTTTCCTGCGCCGAAGTGAGCTAGTAAATTAGTTTTGAAAAAGGCACGATTTTAGTTTATTCTCAGAAATCCAGATCTTGGCCTAAAACTTTTTCCCTGTAGCGATGAATTAATATATATATATATATATATATATATATATATATATATATATATATATATATATATATATATATATCCAAAACAAACCAAACAATGAATAAAGCGTACAGCCGTACAAGACCTTCTAAAAGGGGAAAAAAAAGGAAAAGAAAAAAGAAATATTTCCAAAAATTCTAATGCCGACTACATGTGGATCTCCTTCATACCTGCAGGGTACTTGTGTCAAGATTGTGATAAAATTTGCATTTCTGCCGACGGGCTGAATCGCACCTGAGACTGCAAGAGAAGAAAGTAACTTTCAAAATTTGACAAAGGTGTTTCCTGTTTTTATATATATATATATATATATATATATATATATATATATATATATATATATATATATATATATGAGAGCAGAAGCGAAGGCGGCTCAAAAATTCATCTGCAGGACTATGGCCGCTAAGTTCAACGTTGAAGAGACAACCCCCCCTTTAGTAAAGAAGTGCTATTTATGAAAAACACACGCGCGCGCGCATATGATTCATTTTTAAGTTTTTTTAATATATTTCATTTTTAAGTATTATTTGTTATTATTTAATTAGGAACCTTACTTCTCTTTTATATAATTATTGTTTTGTTTTGTTTTTTTTTTAATATAAAACTCCCTTTTCGGTCCTCTTTAACACTTCATTTAACACTTCATTCTTCATACAACCCCAATTTAACGTCAGAAGGTCAATATCCGTGTTAATTTTATAAAACCTCTTCCATTTAAGACTAACACTTTCAAATTTACCCTTCCACCGACTAAGGCATTTTGTCTGACTGAACCATCGAAATGGATAAATTATGTATCAATTTTTAGGCTGCTGACAAAGTTAAATTCCGACACGAACACAGTGTATACACCGGAGTTGAATAAACCTTAAAGATTCTCGTTGGTTGAAATATTTTTATCCGCACTCCCCCATATGAGGTAATTTTTGATTTTGTTGTGTTATATATATATATATATATATATATCTGTTAAAATGAGATGTCAGTGTTATTTTTTCTTTTTGCGTAATTCAGACGACAAATTTTACATATGTATATATTGCACAACAATATATACAAAATGTAAAATGTGTCCTCTGAATTACGTAAAAAGAAAAATAACACTGACATCTCATTTTAACAGATGTATTTACAAAAATTACACAAAAATATCTTGCATTAATAAAGAGTAAATTCATTGTATAAAATCGCTACTGGCTTCAACCACGGCCTGAAAACGGCTTCGGAACCTCCTGTATCTCTTCTGGGCGGTCTTCTTGTTTAAGTTGGTGAATGCTGTCATAACCATTGCCTTCATCTTTGGCGCGAGAAGGAGGTTTGTTGTTCTCTCGCTCTACTGCGTGCTCCACATAATAAACAAGGGTGGGGAATTTGGGGTGATAGGTGGCCAGATGTAAGTGGGGGTATGATCGCAGAAATTGTCTGACAGCTATGATCGGATTCTCCTGCTTGTGTGACATGTTTCAGATTCCTCTTGCCAGACATAGTGTCTTTCAGCAGACACCATTTTGAGCTAGGGCACCACTAACTCTCCAAAGCACTTGATGTAGGTCTCCATGTTGAATCTGAGAACCTGTGAGGTGAATGGAGGCACAACGTCGCCATCATTAGCGATCACTTCAAACACCTTCGTTATCAACATTAGACTCATCCAACTCTTTCTGAATCCTCTGCACTTTCATAGGATTGGCACACAAACACTCTGAAATGTTCGTATTGGAGCCTCCGACGTGAATGGCAAGCCGCACAGCATGCAGTTTCAAAATTTCTTGCGGAGTGAATAGCATCATGGGACTGTTTTCCTCAAATACGGTGTCCAATTGACTCTACTATATAGTGCAGTCAACAAAAACAAAGAATGCGCATGCGCGAAATTAAAAATGTCGACAATTTACCCATCGCACTATATATATATATATATATATATATTTAAAGATATATATGTGTGTGTGTGTGTGTGTGCGTGTGTGACATTGGACATTGTTATCAACACCCAACGGTGAAAGTCTGTTTCATGCTTAACCGCAGTTATCAGAGCATTCGTCATGATATGACGATTTCTTTATGAATACAACAGACCGTCGCTGTGTGGTGTTTTGTATTTACATTTATTAATATGCCTAAGCATTGTTCTGAGTTCAAGAAAGGCCAAGTCGCCGCTTTTCGTGATCTTGGGGCTGTCGAATAGATCGATAGCTGATAGGATTAATCGAATTGAGTCAAAAAAAAAAAAAACTACCGACAGGGAAGATAGAAACTTGGTTCGTCAATACAAAAAAAGATCGATGCACAACACACAAGAGGTTCCAAAGTGGCTAGTTTGGTGGTGTTGGGACGAAAGAAATGACTTACCCCGGAGATCGAAACGAGCGCGGACTTGTTTTGTGTGCAAAGTGCTGAAAAGAAAATAAGGCCGCTCTTGGGGGATCAATGTATGAGTGTTTGTCTCGGAGAGACGGGATTTGCACATCTGCAAATTCTGGCCTGCTTGAGGAGACATAAAAAGCGAGATGCTAAGAGCGACGCGGGCATTTTTTTGGTGGGGTGCGGATTACATTTGCTAGTCTGACGAGTGAATTGACAGGAAAAAGAAGGTGACGGAGACGCGACTGACTTTGTCAACTGAAAAGTGCCCATTGTGGTGGCGAAGAATCAGAGACCCGGAATTTATTTCAATAAGGTGAGTGAGGATATCGAAGAAGAGTCGGTCTGTTATTTTCTTTACACCCCATCATTTATCTTACTTTTTTTTTTTGCTACATGTTTACTTCATGTTCAATTTTATATTTACATTTGCACTATCCCTGGCTTTGAGTATTTTAACCCATTTATATAGCGTACCTATATATAATTGTATCATATACTGAACCGTTTTTTTTTAAATCATTTTACCCAAGCAAGGCGATATTCAAGGGTTTATTTGTAGTGAAAGTGCATATGAAATATTTTGTTAGGGAAAAGACAAAACAAAAAGATAGGATTAAGGAAAATAAAATGGCGTTGAATTTTCATTTTTGAAAATTGTTGGTGACGGGAAAGCAAGAAATCACAAGAGATTTCCACAGACTAGAATGCGGGAAAAAATAATATTGGACGAGAACGCAAGGTGTCATCTAGGAAGGTCAAGAGTAAAATGGTGATATCTGTTTGCCAGTGTTGTAGTGAGCTTAAATTCGTGTAGTCGAGTCAGCTCATAATAAAAATTGTCCTGCAAGTAGTTGTATAAAATAAATAGAGAAATTTTGTCAAAATCCTAGAGATATATAGTAATAGTAGCAGATGAGATATGGTTGAAGTATTCTTGTTCACGGACGAACAGTATATTTCTAAATGTGCAAGGTGGAATCTGACGAGTAAAACAAATTACGACAAAATAAACAAACGTTCCTAGCAGAAGATTGATCCAGTGTAATTATTCCACTTCATTCCAATGAAAAACGTGCGTCCAAGATGGCGCAGAATTTGTTCCCCAGGAGGTTACCATCAGCCATTCTAATGGAAGGCAAAAAGGTTCAATAAGGTAATAAACAAAAGCATTTTTTTCCGAGC